CAAAAATTGAGGGAAATAAACAGAAATTAGCATAACCCAGCCTAAATCAAGGTTAAAGAGATGATTTCTTGGCTGTGGCTTACCCGAAAAATGCCCAGAAATTCAAACCCACATAGCAGCCGGCGGGCAGGGAGAAGAGCAGAGCAGATCCGGGATTTTCTGGGTTGAGAGGGAAGATTCTAAGCCTCAAATCTTGTGATTTAACAAGAAAGGAAGAGAAATTCATCAAGATCCCACCGGGTTTCTCAAGGGGAAAGAAAGTCGGTGGCTTGGGGGGGGCTTGTCGAGAGGAAGAATCGGGAAGAAGGAGAAGATAAGGAAGAGCAAAACACGTAGCTGAGGAGAGAAATATCAGCCTTGATCCTTATCCTAATTTCCTTTCTTTTAAGTCCCTGAACTTGAAAATATTTACTATTAACTTCATTAACAATATTTCTTCACAATTAGGTCTCTAACTCACTTTAATGCTCTAGAAATTTTGGGGTATTACATTAAGGCTATGATGTAACATAATCAATTTAATATAGATTTTGTGATTTTTATATTTCAATTAAAGTTATTCGCATAAAGAGTTTATATTATTGAATTTAATGTATTGAGAGTTTGATCACTTTTCAATTGATTTAATGATTTATGTATTAACTTGATAAAGAATTACATAAATTAGACCAATAATAATATAAATGGTGTGTTAGACTATGAGACCGAGAGGTAATTAGCTCACATGTGATAGTGGAGAGAGAGAAGAGAGTTAGGAGATCTCCCTTCTTAAGTTAGAGGTTTCTATAAAATTTAATACTTATTAGTTTGTTTAAAATTACATAGAATTATGATTAATTTAATAAACAAGTGAATAATTAAATTGACTTTAGAAAGCTAGTTAATTAATCTAGGGAAATCCGTCATCACATGCAATAACACTCAATAACTTGATAATCTAAAATTTATATTGATTAATTATGGTGAAGCCAATGCCTTAATACCTCGTATTTTGGTTAGTTTTATTTTAATTGTTATTTTCTTTTTATTTTTTAATTAAACTTTCTTCCTTTTCGATTGTTCAAATAAATTTGGATTAATTATTTTTGTATTTAGTTAAACACAATCCTCGTGGGTTCGACACTCTTCTCATCATTATATTACTTGAAGCGACTAGTACACTTGCTATGGTGATTATAGTGCATTAGGTACCAAAAATCTAAAAAGGCTAAAGTTGGAGAATTAATGGGTCAACTCAGTAGTTACAAGTATAATGGTGTGAGTGGTGTTAGAGCTTATATTCTTAAAAAGCAAGACAATGCTAACACACTCACAAATCTTAAGGTACTCATTGATGAAAACTTCCTTGTTTATCAGGTACTCAATTTCCTTCCTTCTTCTTTTGATCAATTGAAAACCACTTATAATGCCTTACATAAAAAAAATGGGATATCTATGAGCTCATCTCTGTATGTGTCCAAGAAGAGGGGAGAATTAACGGTCAAAATGAGAGTGTGTGTATGGTGTCTCAACCACATGATAATAAATTCTATACACATTGATATGCTAAAATCACTTTAGCAAATGTACTAATCCCTCCAAGTAATATAGTGATGAGAAGAATGTCAAACCCATGAGGATTGTGATTAACTAAATACGAAAAATAATTAATCTAAATTTATTTGAACAATAGAAAAGAAAGAAACTTTAATTAAAAATAATAAAAAGAAAATAACAATTTAAATAAAATTAATCAAGATATAAGGTACTAAAGTATTGATTTCACCATAATCAATTAATATAAATTTTGAAATTAATATGCTTCTAAAATTAATTTGTTGAGTGTTATTGCATGTGATGGTGGATTTCCCTATATTAACTAACTAGCTTTCTCAAGTCAAGTTAATCCTTTATCTGTTTTTCAAATTAATAATATCTTTATGTAATTTTAAATAAACTAATGAGTATTAAATTCTATGGAAACCTTTTAACTTAAGAAGGGGGATCAATATAAATTTTGAAATTAATATGCTTTCAAAATTAATTTGTTGAGTGTTATTACATGTGATGGTGGATTTCCCTATATTAACTAACTAGCTTTCTCAAGTCAAGTTAATCCTTCATTTGTTTGTCAAATTAATCATATTTCTATGTAATTTTAAATAAACTAATGAGTATTAAATTCTATGAAAACCTCTAACTTAAGAAGGGGGAGCTCTTAACTCTCTTCTTTTCCTCCACTACCACATGTGATACTAATTACCTCTTGGTCTCATACTCTAAGACATGGTTTATATTATTATTGGTCTAATTCACACAATTCTTTCTTAAGTTCATGCATAAATCGCTAAATCAATTGAAAAGCGATTATGCTTCTAATGCATTAAGTTTAATAATATAAACTCATCATACAAATAACTTTAATTAGAAGTATAAAATCCCAAATCTATACTAAATTGATTAGATTATATTGTAGCCTTAATAAAATAAATTAGTTCATAATAAAAATAATAAAACCTAAAATTATAGTTATGAACATTCAAATATCAAGTAATAGATAAAAAGAACCTAAGGAAAAACAAAACCCAATTTGAGGAAGTTGGACTTCTTGATTTTCTATTGTTGATTAATCTTCTATCTTAATCTCCAAGAATACTTAAAAAAGGGCTACCACCAGTCTCCAAAACTCTCTTAATTTTGAATTTGGATGGGTATTTATAAGATTTTAGAAACACTAATTGAATAGAAATGGGACCCACACCCAAGGTAATAAATTAGACATGGATTTTGTGAAAATCGTCTAAGGGGTCAACATTTACAACAAGGTGCCGACATCTTCTGGATTTTTCACAAGTTAATTCTCATGTTTTTGATCTTTGCAATTTGCTCCTAAAAATTATGATTTCTTCTAATTAAGCCCTTTCCTACACAAAAAATGAAAATTATGTAAAATCAAAATCTCATAAAACTCATCAATAATATCAAAGCAACAATTTCACATTAATATCTATATAAATGCAACTCATCACACATAAAAATAAGGGGTCAAGTATGGTAACTATAAGAAAGGGTCAAACTACCACAACAATTCTAATTCCCCACATGATCTTGGCGGTCCCAAACCTGTCATTCAAAAGAATACTTGCCGATGGTGTAACGTAAGTGGTCATAAGAAGGCAAAGTGTATTAAGTTCAAAAACTGGTTAGAAAAGAGAAAAAAATAAAACAAAAGGTACTTCTCTCATTTTCATTTGCTTTGAATATTCTTCAATTGATTTTCCCATCAATTCTTGGCGGCTTGATAGTGGTGCACCTATTCATGTTTCTAATACTTTGTAGTGGTTCCTAAGCAAACGAAAGCCAAGTGAAGATGAAAGTCACGTACACGTAAGAAATGGAGTCTAAGTTCAAGTTCTTTTCATAGGATTTGTTAGATTAAAGTTTAGGTCTGTATAATATCTTGTTTTAGAAAATACTCTTTATGTACTGTCCATGAGATGCAATTTAGTTTTAGTTTCAATTCTTGATAAACAAGCTTATCATTTTAATTTTAGAGATGGAATTTTCAATTGTCCTTGAATTCTTCTGTTATAAGAAACAGTTTTTTGCATAATGGGCTTTATAGACTTGATTTGTTAGATAATGCACATGTTCCTTTAAAAGTTGATAATGTTAGTACTAAAATGTGTTTAAATGATGAAAGCTCATCCATGTTATGGCATAGACGTCTTGGTCATATTTCTAGAGAAAAATTAAGTAGAAAAATTAATCAAGTTTTACATACTTCCATCTTTAGACTTTAGTGATTTTGGTACTTGTATAGATTGTATTAGGGTAAAATGACTAAGTCTAATAGGAAAGGTGCAACTCACAATGAAAATCTTTAAGAGTTAATTCATACTAACATTTGTGGGCCTTTGTCTCCTGCTTTGTGTGGAAGTAAATATTTTATGACTTTTATAGATGATTACACACATTATGGACATGTATTCTTAATTCATGAAAAATTTGATACATTAGATAAGTTTAAAATATTCAAAATTGAACACTACAAGAATTTCAGGATTTACCTGCACTTTATTACAGGCGCTCACTATGTGTGCTGGAAATCCTAACTTGGGGTAGAGTGCTTTTTAGGCGTTTTATTTATGCATTTGGAAATGTTATTCATTTCCGGCACTTGAAAAGCGCCTGTATATTAAAAAAAAGAAAAAAAGAAACAAGACATATAGTTAGAATCGCCCCAAAACCAAGTCCTCGCGTTATTTTCCCAAAACCCCGCGTTATTTTCCCTTCATTACCTTGTCTCCTTCCAATCTCTCGTTCCCTTTCTGTATCTCGTTCTTTTCTATTTCAGTATTCTCCCTTTCATTCTTTTCATTTTCAAAACTTTTGTTTCATTTCTAGAGTCTCTCCACTGGGTAAGCAGAAACCTAAACCAATTGCAGTCGGTAAGCTTTCTCGTACCACGACCATGAATAACGAATAGTAAGCTTTGTTTATCCTCCAATCTTTCGATTGCGATTGAATTTTCGATTTGTTTACCTCGAATTTATGTTCAGCAGCAGTGTTTTCTTTTGATTCTGCCACCTGCCCCTTACACATTGTCTGCAGAAGAGAAAGCTCAATTCTATGAAGTTTTTAAGAATTTGAAAGTCCTTGATGGCTATGCTTCCAACATTTCAAGATCAATAAATCTAAAAGAGCATAAGATGCAATCCCTTAAGTCACATGATTACCACATTTTGATGCAAGACCTTTTACCTATTGCCTTGAGATGTTCTATGCCTAAGAAGGTCATTGCAGTAATGATTGAGTTTTGCAATATTTTAAAAGCTCTTTGTTCTAAAGTTCTCAATGTTGATGAACTTGATAGTCTTCAAAATCGTGCAGTAGTAACTCTTTGTCACATGGAAAGGATTTTCCCACCTTTCTTCACCATAATGATTCATTTGGTGATTCATCTTCCTCAAGAAGTAAAAATTACTGGTCCTGTTCTATTTAGGTGGATGTACCCTATAGAAAGGTACTATCCTCAGTTGTTTTGTCCCATTTAATTTGTTATTTTTATCCCATATAATCTGGTCTGTCCTTAATTGTTTTGTCCAATCTAATCTGTTAGTATTATCTCATCTAATCTGGTTTTGTCTTTAATTTTTTTCTCATCTAATCTATTATTATTGTTAATAAATGACATTTTCATGTAGAAATTTGCTCACCCAAAATAGTCCTACATTTTGTCTTCCTCACTCACTCACTTATCCTTCCATGTGATTCCTTTCTCCTTTACTGCCTTCTGCTTCTGCATTGAATTTGTTTCTCTTTTGGGCAAATTAGCTTGTTCATGATGGCAATTTTTGATTCATTTGTAGCAATTTTATGGTTTAGGGACATTATGATAGTGCTGTCATGGAAGTTGTATAGTTCAGTTTATGGTTCTTCTTATTTTCACTTATTACACTGGGAAGGAACTTGCTCATGAGCCATTTGTCTTTCCATCATGAGTCCAACAAGTGTTTTATGTAGAAGAACCTAATAACACTCAATGCCATGTTGCAATCAAAACAAGGCCTCATTATGCTTTTGCAAAATTTGATGAGATGGAAGATGAGAGTTGTGATAAATGTGTCCCTTTCAGTCCGCAACAGTTGGATGCCACTTCAATTGATGATGATTTTGCAACAACATGGGTTAGGAAAGATGTCCCAAGGGAACTAGTAGATAGCAATGATTAATTGTTGTTCAAATTTACATGAGTAATTTGATTGTAGACTTTCTATTAATGTCTTTTATAAATTTCAGTTTAAAGTTTGTGAGTACTTTTAGTTGTCTTTCTGCCACTTTATTTTTAACTTAATATTTTGTCTTTGAGCATGTTGATATTGTAATGAAGGATGATATAGGTTTAATTGACCTTGTCCATTTGCCAAAAATGGTGAGCAAAAATTCAAAGATTTTGGATTCTTTTGCATTCCAATGCCATGTTCGAATTAATGGATTGAAGCTTTCTTTTGCATTTTTTGTTAGTAAATGCGATTCACACCTTATTTCTTGTTCTATAGGCTCCAAAACGAAGTGGAGTTGGAAAAGCCCCTGTTGCTGTAGCTAATAAGAAACTAGTGGTACTCCTCTTTTACCTCCTTGTTTGCCAAAGGAACTGACTTTTACTCATTCAGATATATTTTGGTATTGTACATAATTTTTTTTCCCTTTTTTAGGAGAAGGTTCATTCTGCTTTGAACCAGTTCACCAAGACTCTTGACAAGGTTACTAGTCTGTGTCTAATTTTTTTTTTCTTTTTTGGTATGTTTATTTCTCCTCATCACTATGTTTATGCTTAGATCTTTTATTAGTCATGACATTGGTATCTATTAATCTTGCTATTTCGACAAGGTTGGATTCATCATTGTCACATTTGAGTTTTGCTCTTTATCCTTCTATCTTATGGTTCGTTATTATGGCTTGGTGAATGTTATGGTACCTTAAGCTTAAACATATATGCCTTTGTGAAAATCTATCACTTCAATTAGTGAATTTCTTTATTCCACAAAAAACATAAAAGCAGTTCTAATAAAAATCTTGTACAGGGTAGAAAATGGCAAGGGGAAGAAAAAGGAAACCAATAATTGTGAATGTTCAAGATGCAATCAATGATGGGTCTTTTGATGAGTTGAAATTGTATACATATTAATGTGGAATTGTTGCCTTGATAATATTGATATATGGATGAGTTTTATGAGATTTTACTGAGTTTTATGAGACTTTACATGATTTTCATTCTTTATGCAGAAAAGGATTTGAATGCATAAAATAAGAGTTTTTTAGATTTATTGAATATTTTCTAAAAGTTGAGGGACTGAATTGCAAGAAGAAGGGCTGCCATTTGGAACCTAAATGAATGAATCTTGAGTTTTGGGATCTAAGTGCTCATAGTACAAAATTTGGAGGACTAGATCTGCTATTTTACCATTGAAGAAATTGCATAATGAGGCCAAAAACCCGACATGGGTGTAGTGTCGACACGTAACCGGATTGTCGACACCATGCTTAAAACGTCAAGAATCAGATTTTGTTTCCTATTTTGTGTCAACACATAATCCGAAGTGTCAGTACCATGCGATCAGCATCCGAAATTCAGTTTCCTATTTCTGTTCCAAGTCTTATTTCTATTTTAATTAGGGTTTCTAAAATCCTATAAATACCCATTCAAATTCAGAATTAATAAAGTTTTTAAGAGGCTAGTGGCAGCCCTCTTTTAGGCATTATTGGAGATTAAGATTGAGGTTCCATCAACAATAGAAGATTAAGGAGTTCGATTTCTTCAAATAGAGTTTTGTTTTTCCTTGGGTTTTTATCTATTGTTCGATATTTGAATGTTCATAACTCTGATTTCATATTTTATTATTTTTATTATGAACTGATTTATTCTACTAGAGTTACAATGTAACCTAATCAATTCAATATGGATTTAGTGATTTTATGCTTTCAATTAAAGTTATTTGTATGAGGAATTTATATTATTGAATTTAATGCATTGGAAGTCTGATCACCTTTCAATTGATTTAGTGATTTATGCATGAGCTTGAGAAAGAATTGCGTAGATTAGACCAATAATAATATAAACCTGTGCTAGACTATGAGACCGAGAGGTAATTAACTCACATGTGGTAGTGGAGAAAGAGAAGAAAGTTAGGAGCTCCCCCTTTTTAAGCTAGAGGTTTTCATAGAATTTAATGCTCATAAGTTTGTTTAAAATTACATAGAGATATGATTAATTTAACAAATAAGTGAAGGATTAACTTGACTTGAGAAACCTAATTAATTAATTTAGGGAAATCCGCTATCACATGCAATAACACTCAATAAATTGGTTTTGAAAGTATATTAATCCAGAATTTATATTGATTGATTATGATAAAATTAATGCCTTAGTACCTCAAATCTTGGTTAGATTTATTTGTTATTTTCTTTTTATTATTTTTAATTAAAGTTTCTTCCTATTTGATTGTTCAAATAAATTGAAATTAATTATTTTGGTACTTAGTTAAACACAATTCTCATGAGTTCGACACTCTTCTCATCATTATATTACTTGGGGCGACTAGCACACTTGTTAGGGTGATTTTAGTGCATCAAGTTTTTGGCACCGTTACTGGGGATTGTTGATTTAATTAATATCGAAGTTGGTTAATTCTAGATTTAATTTGAACATTTTCTTTTATTTCTTTACTTTGTTTTTTTTTTTTTTGTTTCTTTTGTTTTTGTTTGGTTAAATATCCTTTTTGGTCCCTCTACTATAGGAAAAAGCCCCTTTTTAGTCCCTATACCGAAAAAATCCCCTTTTTGATCCTTACTGTTTGAAATCCGATCCCTTTTTAGTCCTTCTGTCAATTAAGTGACAACATGTCACAATTATCCGTTAAATGTCTTTTTTTTTTCTTTTTAATGTTGACATGGGATTACACGTGGCAAAATTGATGAGTTGGCAATAAGATTTATTTTCCATGTAATCAATAAGTCATAAAATAATTAAAATAATTAAAAGAAAAAAATCATTGTTTCCCTTTATCTT